AATAAATTTTAAATTATAATATTAATTATTGTAAATTAAAATTAGAATCGTAATGAATGTAAATTGAAATTTCATCTTAGTTATTTACTACATTTGACAAAAAATTTGAATTTCAAAAACAAAATGTTGTAAAAAAATAAAAATATATATATTATATTTAACATTTTTCAAAAGTTTAAGGGGCAACTTATTAACAGCTAAAAGGAATTATGTTAATCAATTAACTGAATATTTGTCAAGTAGATAATTTTGAAACAAAATTGATAGTTTATAGATCATTTTAAAAAAAATTATTTCTAAATTAAACTGAAATAAATTATATAGTTAATAGATTATGTATTAAATTTAACCCTTTGTTAATAGTTTTCACACTTCCCATTTAAAAATATGATCACGGCAGTCAAAGGGAATAGTTAAATCATAGTTTAGTCTATGTACTTGTCAAATTTCGAAGACAATTAGTTTTTACAACTATAATATATCTAGGTTAAAGGGAAAGAAAGGAAAGAGGAAAATTTTTTCATTTAATTATTTAAAAATTAGAAAGGAGAAGAAAGAAAAATTTTATTTATTATTTAAATGAGAAAAATGAAGAAAAAGAGAATGGAGAAATAAAATTCTTCTCTTTTTCTTTCTTATTTCTTGTTTTTTAATCTAAACAGTTAAATTAATCTTGCTAAAAAAAATTTATAACAAAAAAAAATTATCAATCTATTAGCACACATTTCAAAAACCCACCATGGCTTTCATCTTTCAAGAAATCGATTGAACATCATACTTCAAATTTCCCCCATCACATCCCAAAATCAAAATGAAAATGAAAAATTAAGAGCACGCACAAGGCATGTTTTGTTTAGTGTTTACTTCGTAAAATAGAGTAGAAACAAAACCCTTTCCTATTGAAACCATACTTTAAAAGTGAGTCTATCATCTACCCAGAACATGTTATGTTTTATTTTTTAAAAATATAAATTACCTTAAAAGAAAGAATGGGTTGCAGCGCCTGACATTGGTCTAGTGTTCAAAGGCTGCTAAAGCCTAAATAGGAAGAGATCCAAAGATGGGGAAAAAAAGGGTAGAAATTAGGGGGTGAGCATAGGGGTGGGTACATCTATTATTTATAAGTGTTTTATTTTGAACTAACCTTCTCGTCCAATGGTTCGACCCAAACCTTAAGTGCTTGGGTGAGATGGTCGGAATTTTGAACTCTATCATCGTCGTGAACTCCACTAAAAAGTGACCTTAATAACCGTGCACCTCATTTGAGATGGTGAAATGTTCACCCGGTCTAAGGGCCAGTTGCTAACAATTAACTCACACTAACTTCCTAATAATTACCTTGTCAAAAAAAAAAAAGTGCTTTATTTGTTTAGATAAGTGTCATATTTAAATTATAAAAAAGGATAAATAAAATGTATAAAAATAATCTTTATAAGTATTAAGTCAAATAATAAATATAAAAGTTCATGATTATTTATCAAATATGTTTAACTAACTTATTTAACTGATCTATTACATATACTTATATATTTAAAATTTTACATATACTTATTATATTAATATCTATATAATAATAATTTTTAAAAATAAAAATAATAAAATACAAAAAGTAGAAATAAAAGTTAAGTAAGGCATATAAACCAAACAAATTATACATGTAAAAATACCAATTCATATAAATAATAAATCTTAAGCTAAACACAAAATAAACATAACAATAGCATTTCATATTAAACCTTTTCTTTTCCTAAGCCAACTACATAAGTATACATTTGTAAATTATTTGGTATCAGTTGGATTAAATACCAAATATAAGTGTTTGAGTATTTGGGTAAATATCAAATTTAAAAAGTTATATAGAAAATTTTCAAATTAAATAACAAATATAGTCTATATCCAACCTATATTTGAAAATACTCACTCCTAGTAGAAATAGGTTGTATTAATTTACCACCACTCTTACATTTTCTTTTTATTTTAACTTGAATTTTATGATTCAACTAACATAAATGTCCAGAAAAAAAAAAAAAAAAAACAACCTAACAATAGTTATTCTTTAGCTCTAAGGAAGTATTTAGTATATAGAAGTTTGTGATTAGTAGTTTGTAGTTTGAAATTTAAACTAGTTAAAAGAATGAAAATATTGACATTATAAAGAAATAAGAGATTGTAAAAAATTAAGATATTTTGATAATGTAAATATTAGAAATGATAATTAAAAGATTTAAATATTTTTAATAAATCAATACACTAAAAATATTTATTAACAATAGTTATTCTTTAACTCTAAGCAAGTGTTTAGTATATAGAAGTTTGTGGTTAGTAGTTTGTAGTTTGAAATTTAAACTAGTTAAAAGAATGAAAATATTGACATTATAAAGAAATAAGAGATTGTAAAATATTAAGATATTTTGATAATTTAAATATTAGAAATGATAATTAAAAGATTTAAATATTTTTAATAAATCAATACACTAAAAAGATTTATTAAAAATATTTAAATAATTTTACTAAT